CCGGCGCCACACTGTTCTCATTATTGTAGCTTTGTATCATGCTTTGAAGTCAGAAAGTGTGTGTCCTCAATCTTTGTTCATTTCAATATTGTTTTAGAAATCATGATGCCTCGTGATGCGTTTTTCCTGTTTTTCGTGCTTGCAATTCTTTGCGCATCTTGGATTCTAACATGTGACTAGTCAGTCATAGGTCCAGAAAGGAGAGAGAAAACAGAGAAGGAATAATGCAAGCAACTGTCCGGGACTAAAAGACATGGTTTTGCAGACTGCGAGGAGCCACGCAGCTCCCAGCACCACGGACGGAGAAGGAACCACCCGGGGGACATAGTGAGCACCACTGGGGACGACAGGACCCAACAGAAGCTTCCAGGGGTGGGGAAGCCCGGCTCACACACAGCCTCGGAATATGGAAGGCAGCGGACTTCTCCGTCTCCAGCACGTGGGGGCTGGGAGACAAGGGGCGGAGCCTGAAAGCCTCTGAAAGGAGAAGGGGCAGCGGCCAGACCCTTGCTGTGAGCACCTTCTCCCCTGACAGCCGTGGCAGGTACGGATGTCTCCGGCGAGGCAAGTGGCCTCCTTGCCCAGGAGAGCACCGGAAGGTATCCAGTGTTTGTTTACTCTCCCCCCGAGATGAGTAAAACAAGGGAGAGATCAGGGGCTCCAGCAGCTGAGGCCATGGAGGGCACCCACAGGATGACAGGGAAGGGAGATCCCCAGACAGTGGACCCTGCAGCCGCAGGCTGCAGTAGAAAGAGGGCCCAGGAGCAACGCTTCGAGGGGCGGAGGAAACAGACGGTCCATGCAGAGTCCTGGCCGTGAGAGTGTGGGCAACCAGGCACCCCGCTTCCCCTCATTTTCCTGTTGGGATCTTGCCGAAGCCCCCACAGCAGGAGGCAGACGCCCAGGGCCAGGGACTTTTTGACCTTCCTTGGCATCTAACCCTCCCTCCTTTCATTAACTCGGCCTCCTTGCCCTGCACCCACAGCTGTAACTAGGCTGGGGCAGGTGGGGACACCCCACGGCCGGGGCATGGCCTGGGTGGACTGAAGCGACCTCAGGGTGGGGCACGAACATGCAGACCTGGGCCGCCGGGAGCCTCCTGTGGGGCAAGCCAGTGCGCTGGGCCCCGTGGGGAGTATGGCGTTCTTGTTTGTGCTGTTTATTTAAAAGGAAAGGGCTGGCAGGACCAGTGTGTGCAAGAATAGCAGGGCCAGATCACACGTAACCTACTTAAGACAACAGAGTGCTTCAGACTGCACTTCCATCATCGGGCAGATGCTGCTCACAAAGACTCCGTTTTAGGAACACTGGTCGGTCTGCGGATGAGTCATTCCTTAAGCATTTTAATAGCAGGACAGGTCTGTTCGTTTTATTGTCTAGTCTTCTCGTTAACTCAATCTGGCTTCTGTGACTTAGTTCAGAATAACCAGACCTTTCCTTCCGGGGCTGGGCGGGCGTCTCCTTCACGCCTGCGGCCCCTGTACTAGGAGCACCTCAGACAGGACTGGCCTTGGGGTGGCTGGTGGCGGGGGCCGGACGGTGAGCATGAAGTCAGGGATGATACAAGTTGGAGCGCAGAGCCGCTTTGCCAGCCGTTCGCGCTGACGACGGCACCGCTGAGCCTGGAGGACGCGGGCGTCTGGTCTGGCCGTGGGGTCCCGGCAGTGGGCCGTGTGTGCGTGGCCCACTCCCTCCCAAGCCCCCTTGAGATGCCTCCTTCACCCTCCCTTCACCCAACAGCAAAGCTGGGGGACAGTGACTGGATCCAGAGCCAGCATCGGGGTTCCCCAGGCTCACTGAGTGCGTCCGTGGGTCTGCGGGTGGGCTTCCGAGAGGCCGGTGCTGACCCGCTGGAGGAAAATAGGCCCACCCCAGCGCCGCGGAGCACAAAGAGGGCGCTTAACAAACCGCCCCCGACAGCGGCGGAAAGCAGGGGCCACCGCTGCCCCACGGCTGTGCTTGGAGCAGCCGCTAGTCCAGGGACAGCCGTCTCTGCTCTGCCGTCCCCAGCGCAGCAGGACGCGTCTGCGAGCGCGCTCACTCTCGCCTGCCTGCTGGTTGGTGCGGGCTCTGGCTGGAACCGCTCACAGCCTCTGCGTGTGGCCGGTCGTCCCCACCGCACGGTGGCTGGGGGCCCATGGGCAGTGGTCCCAAGAAAGAGCTAGGTGGGAGCGGTCCACCCCGGTGTAAACCTCTCAGTTACCAGTGTCACCGCGCACCTCCTGCTGCTCCGCTGTTACAGTGGTAACAAAACCCCACCCAGTTTCAGGAGGAGGGGCCTCACTTGATGGGCAAAGTCTTAGAAGAACACGTGGGGCTGCAAGTGCTGCCGTGGCCGTCGTGGAACACACAACCTGCCACCAGACCCCGGACACCTGCATAGAGAACGACCTTCCCGGACAAGGAACCAGGAACTGCAATGGCTTTGCGCTGCTCAGCGCTAAGGTGGACAGTAACGAAACCACCCCTTACCTTCTGAATAGAACTGGTTTCCAAACCCAGTCTCCCCCTGCCTGATCCCCATCCTCATGGAACCTGGGACCTCTGGTGCAGAGAGCTGGGTCTGCACCCCACTCTGGGTCTGGACAGGCTGCCCTCGCTGCTGGTGGCCGTCCTGGGCCCGCAGCTGAGGCCCCCTCCCCGCCCACCCGGCCGCGGAGTGTCCTCAGACAACGAACGGTGTTTTGCGCGCTTCTCGTTCGCCAATGGGACTGTGCGACAGACCTGGTTTTGCTTTTCCCTGCGTCCTCATTTATCTGAGAACCTGGTTTTTCACACCATTTGTGGCTCCGCTTCCATTTCGGATGTAGGAAGCCACGAGAACATGACAGGCACCCTGACAATGAGAAAAGGTGGATAACATGCAAAATCTGAACTCAAGCTCAGAGAGCTGTGGTCACAAGGCTACCAGGTGACTCAATCCCAAAGAGTGACAAGCCCTCCAGAGTGGGAGGGGACACAGGGTGGCTCCCCTTGGCAGTGCAGGAAGAGGAGGCAGCTGCAAAGGGGAGGGCTGCGGCAGGGAGCTGGAGACCCGCCCCGCCCCGCCCTGCCCCGCCCCAGGTACACAGGCCTGCCACCCCACCCACCACACCAGCCCTTCCCTCCTGTGAAGCCAAAGCCTTAATCCACTGGGGGAGGAACGACCCCCGTCCCCTCCCAGTAAGAACCACTGCTTGGTGGAGGGGAGCAGAAAACCTTTCAGATGCAGGCTCTGGCCCTAGACCCTATCCAGCTGTGTCTGCAGCAGAGGTAGGAGTGGGCAGACCGCTGAGGTGCTGAACCTTGAGCCCCAGACACAGGGCCTGCCTGTGACTGAGGCTGAACCAGGTCCACACCCTGCCTCCACCTGAGCCTCATCTGGTCTTCTGCTGGTGGGGGCTGGGGGCTGGCCAGAGCCAGGTGCAGGCTCGCAGCACCTGCCGGAAGCTGAGGCTTGGCAGGAACACAGAGGAGACCCGGGCTGGGGAAATCTGAGGGTAACCGGAGCAACGAAACCCACACCCAGCAACGGGTCGAACAGACTGACTTCGCCCCACACCAGCGGCCTGTCGGAGGGGATGCGCCCACTTCTGGGCCTGAGGACTACCTACTGCGGTCCCTACTGCTCTACAGAAAACAGGCGGCATCAACCACAAATCAGGAGACACGGAACGAGGGGAAACAACCCAGTGTCAGAAAGGAGAGGTGCTGCCATGAGCCCTGCATGCGCCCTGGCTGAGACGCTCATCACCCTTCCGTGCCGTCGGGGGCCCGGCAGTCCCACGGACATGCCCGCCAGCAGCGTGCAGGCTCCCGCTCGCGTGCGCACACAGTGCCGCCCGCCTGGCCCTGCCTGACACAGTGCTCCCCAGGCCTGCGCCCGGCTCTTCCTGGGCCTGCTGCCTGCTGCCTCCTGCATCTGCCTTCCAGTGAGCACCCTGCCGTTTTCCTCTCGATTTCTAGTTCTTTCTCATTGATTTGCAGGAATCTTCCCCTCGCCCTAATTACGAACTCCCTGACAGCGTTAGATGTAAGAAAGAAAGAGGGAAAGGCCCCTCTCACCTGGTCACCTGTTTACAGTCCACGCGTCCCTCACCGAACGCAAACCCTCCCTGTGGCTCTGCCCAAACCACCGGTGTTCTGTCTCATCATCTTTGCACCTGGGGTCTTGAGATGTCTTCGCCTCAAGGCAACCAAGTAAGTTCCTGTGCTACCTTCTTCTGGCTTCCAAGTCACCCTGGGACGCGACCCGGGGCCTCTGCTCTGACCCTCCTCTGACACTGCTGTTATCAAAGCCACAGATGCATGCTGGGGGCCCCAGCCCACGGCCTCCACACACTCACCTCCTCCTGCCAACGCCACTTCCTCAGCCTCCCTGGCTCCGCTCGGCCGAGCCTTCCCTGCAAGCCCTTGGGCTGGCTGCTCTGGGCTGACACGCACACCCTCCGGTTTGCAGACTCGGGGCTGCGCTAGACCCCCAGCCCCAGACACAAGCCAGCCAGGGCCTCACAGCCCACCTCTGAACACGCGTGGCTGTGCTGAGATAATGTCAGGGGAAAATTGAGTTTACAGCAAAGTATTTTTTAAAATACACCTGATTTTATCTACCACCCATTTTCTAAAAATGTCTAAGCAACCAAAGCCACCAACATCATTAAAATGCCCCCATCAGACCTGCTGGGATGAGAGAGTTCCTCCTTTATGTCACAGCCACTGTTGGCTTTCACAGGCTGAAGTCTTGGGTTCATTTAAACCACGATATAAAAAATAGAAGTATCTGTGCAAGGTAATGCTCTCCAAATGCTCTCTGTATGTAAAGTGCGGAACTCCTCAGGCAGGGAACACTCCCTTGTCCCTCACGGACGCCAGGCCGGAGCAGGAAACCCTGCGGAGACAGGACCCCCTGTGCCCCGCCCACCCCTCGCAGAGGCCCGGCGCCCCGGCCTGGGTCACGGGGGTGGGGGGGTGCAGAGAGCGAGCCTCCTGGAGCAGTGTGTGCTTCAGCGAGTCACGTGGGCTGCAGTTGTGCAAGTTTCAGTGTAAAAATGGTGTGGCCATCCTAGGTCTCGGAGAAGGTAAGAGAATCTAACTGTAAAAGGGGCAAACATAATCTGTGTGAGGAATTTCTTCTTACCGTGTGCATACAGCAGAGCGCATACAGCAGTGCACGCGGACTGAACATAACGGCCCTCACTTGGGACGTCTGCACGAAGCAAAAAAAGCCGAAGCGCTAAACATTCGATGCCAATTCAGTTCTCATTTTCAGGGTTTGCGGGGTCATTACTTGTTAATGCATCTCTCTCAAGATAGATAAAATTTTGTCAAAAACAGTACTTTTGAGCTAGAGTAAACCTCACAAGCCAAATTTCTTTTCTTTCCAAGTAGAGCACTTGGAGTCTAGAGGTGACGGTTGAGGGCTGGGCCCCTACCCGGTTAAATGTCATGCCCACCTTCACCTCTGACCTCGAGGCGTCAGCGCGACCAGGCAGTGACTCCGTTTCCGCCCGTCGGAGCCCCTCCCGGAACAGTGCAGCCGTGAGCCCTGGTCTGCGGCGGGATCCACGCTTTCAGACGCTGCTCTGTTTAAAGACGTGCAGGTGCTGACTCACGGCAGCCTCAGAGCCCAGTCTTGGGGTCGCTGACGCGCCCTCTGCAGCAGCCCAGACGCCTGTCCCGGGGGCCGGAGCGCCTGGCACACGGTTTCCAGTGGGAGCCGTGAAAGGCAGTACGTCACTCATCAATCATTCTTCTCGTTTCTATCAGAGTCCTAAGATTCATGATGAAATACAATAAAATGCAAATAGAACTTTCTAATTTGTTCCTGGAAAACCAATGACTAACTGAAGTAATCGTAGATTCCTGAAAACATAAACGGCTCCAGTGCAGGGTGACCCTGAGTTTAAATGTGCAGGGGTCACCACGAACCCCAACTGTCACCAGCAAACACGTCAACAGCCTGAACGCATTACTTAAAACGGGAAAGCGGCATGCGGTGACGTGAGCTTCAGAAAATACAACTGCCATAAAGCGTGTTTCTATTTTTAATTTTTTTTGCTTTGATAAATCAATTGCTTCACAAAAATCCCTTTTAAAGACAACAATCCAAGAAAACATATTGTTACAGTATTCACGTTTTAAAGATTGTCAGTTCATAGACCAAACGTAACTAAAACAAAGGCAGGCTGCCGAGTCACTCTGTCCCCGACGGCCAGCACTGGGCCTGTCACACCTCCCGGGCACGTCTGAGCTGGTCCGACAGAAACAAGGGCTCCGACACTCTCTCCCAGAGGGCAGAGTCGGGTCACACGACGACGGGACGGAACCGAACCCCGAGACCCTCGGTGTGGGGCTGGAGCGGCGGCGCCCTGCGGCTGTGAACGGGCGGGGCCCTACCCTCTGCGCACGGGGTAAATGCTTACACTATTCACCATCTGGGACCAGAAGACTGGGCGCTGGGCCAGCCCACCGGCTGGAGCTGTCAGCCACCTGCTCAGCAGCTGAGCGGCGGGATGACATGCTTGTCTGGGGTCTCACACGTTCAGAAGCCCCGTGCCTCAGCGGGGAGTTTAACCAGAGCAAAGCATCAGCCCGTTCACGGTGACAGCTCAGCAGAAGCGGTGCTTTCATAGGTTCTTGTGACGCCCGAGGGCTGGACAACGGGCTCCAACAAGGCGGACTCTGACAACCTGTGTGCTGGGCAACAGTTTTTCGGACCAAACAGCCACGGCAGGCGGTGGTTAGGGGGAGAGGTCAGAGAAACTGCAGGCTAGGTCTGCCCAGGAGTGCATGCTCTCTAAGTGGCCTTCACCCTGGTCCCCTGATGACAGTGACTGAGAGCTCAGGGCACCGGCTTCAGCTGCAGAGGCGCACGCTGTGCCCCTGGGCCCAGAGGCGCGGGTCTGGGCCAACGAGAACCCTGGTGCAGCCGCCTCCGAACTGAAGTGGTGTGCGCAGCCCTGGCTGACAGTCTGCTGAGCCATGAGGAGCCCATACCCTCTGAATGTGTCCACACTAAACCGAAGAGCAGGGTGGCCCAGAGGGACGGAGGGAGGGCGGGGCCAAGGAGGAGAGGGCTGGCTTCCGCCGACCCTCGTTTCTGAGAAGTCCAAAAAAGTTAGAATTTAAGTAAAGCTAAAATGACCTTTTAAAGTTGTGTAGACTTAAAATAGTAAAAACTGTTCATAAATAAGGAATGCAATCAATACCTGCTTAAAAATGGTATTATCTCCCCAAAGAGTTGACAGTCAAGTTTTTCTTTTTAAAGCTCCTGAAATACTTTTTTAAAAGAAATTCCTATTATTTCTCCCTGCCTTCTAGTTTATCCAGGAAGTAGTTTCCTATGATTGACTTTAATGAATCCATTTATAAGGAAAAGTCAGCCCCAGAAAAAATCTGCTCTAGCTCTGAAAACCTCTCAAAGTGACCCCGGTCCACAACCAGCCGCTGTAGCTGCAGCCCAGGCATGGCGGCCTTCCCAGCCGTGGGCCCCTCCTTCGGGAAGGCGCCGACCCCCGGGAAGCACCCCGATCGGATTACACGCAGGCCTGCTCTGTGAAATGAGGTGTCCTGTTTCCTCTCTCTGCTCAACAGCCCCGCTTGCCAGCCAACAGGTGAAAGCCAATCAACCAAAGTAGACAAAACCCAGTCTACGATTTTGGTCCGTCTCGTCACCAGGAAACGGGAGCCCTAACGTTATTTCAGATCTCGTGTGCTGGAGAGGAGAGGAGGGCTCTGGAAACTCCAGAGTCACGCCCATGAGGAGGACGCACGGGCCCCAGGACCGCCGGTGCACGTGCACCCGACAGCAGGAGCCCGCGGCACGCGGTCAGCACGGCCCCACTCATTTCCGTCCCCTCCCTTCTCGGTCTCTCTCTGTCCATCACGGAACAAAGGTGACTGTTTGCGACTTACCCCAGGTCTGAGCCAATGGGATGGAGGACATTTTATATTAGTTTATAATAATAAACATTCTATGCGTAACATATGGCTGACTAACAAACCCTAAAACAATACGCAGCTAATGTGGTGTGGTCACCACTTAACCGCCGTCAAATTTAACTTAGACTGAAACACGGACGGTGAGAGCGTTAACTGATCACTGTCTACCACTTCACTTAACGAAGTCCTGGTGGGCAGGTGCCTTTCCACGTACGTTTAGATTAAGTGGAAATGCAATCTGAGCATTTACGGATGAACTAAAATTTGAAGATACCAAAGTTTCATTAAATAGTTGTTTCTTCCATAGTAGTAAATGTAAATTATTACCCTAGCTATCTTGGGGCAGGTTCACAAAATTCGGCCAATTCATCGCACTCCAAATTGAAATAGTAAGCATGTATGGTTTCTCCTCTAGAAATTTTACCCTCAATATAGTTATAATCCAATTCATAAGGAATTTATAAAAATAGCTTTTTTATCCAATAAGTCCAGCAAGGTAAAAATAGGAGTTTCTTTCTATATATAGCGAACGGAACAGGCCCCGGACGGTGGGGGACGCAGAGGCCCCGGGGCTGTGCGCGCCCGCCGCGGAGTCGCGCCAGTTTGCTGCCATGTCGTGCCCTGTCCGCCCTGCACTGGCGGCTTTAAGGTGCGGAAGCTTCTTTCAGCCCGTGGGCCACACAAGTCCGTCAGCCCACGAGGCCTGCTTTAACCACAGAACTCAGTTGAAACTGCACAACTCTCTACGAAACGGCAGCACCGATCCTTAACCTAGCCAGGGGCTCACGGGGGTGTCTGTCATCCATCACATTGCTAGCGTCGCACCTTTAAAGACATTCCTCGGAAACCCACACGCACGCACGCGCGCACACGCTCGAAAGAAGTCGCTGCACCGGCACAGACGCTCTGGAAGCTCGCTATGAAATACAAAAGTGCACTCTTCTATATCTACATATAAAACAGGTCAGAAATAAAACTGTGTAAAATGTTTGCTGTGCAAACTATTAAAAAGCCAGGCCCGCGGCCCTGGGTCCTGGCGCCCCCTGGGTCCCGGCCGCGGTCTACTGCAGGGAGTCGCTGTTCTCCAGGACCAGCCCGCTGATGTGGGCGGGGGTGAGCGCGGCCCTGCCCGCCCCCGGGCTGTCCACGGACTCGTCCTCGCTCTGCTCCGCCATCATGACCTGCTGCACGGCCAGGGTGGCGCCGTCCGAGGACAGGGACTGGAGGCTGTCCACGTTCATGCTCACAGGCGTGGTGATCGTCACAACGGCTCCTGCGGCAGACCAGCAGAACGCGGCGGTCACTATTCATGTCAGCGCTTGGTGGAGGAAAATGCGGTCACCCAGTGGGTGCTCCCTGCTTCTCTGACCTCCCGGGAAGACCCCTGCATGTGCCTGGGAGGTGCAACGGGCACCTGGGAGGCTGCGTCTGGGGTGGGCCTCGGGCCTTGCGGAAGGTCTCAGGGGTCAGGGCGGAACAAGCACCCCAAGAAGGACACGAGACCGGGGAACAGGAGAGGCCCACACAGACGTAACAAGGAAACAAAGCGAGGGGAGTGAGGTCGAGCGAGAACAGCCGGGAAGGGGAAAGACGGAAAGAACCTCAGACGCGCTGACTCCTGTTTGTCTTGGGAACCTCGGTGCATCTCACGTGCTCACCCGTTAGGAGTCTCCAGCATATTAATACATGGCGAGAGCAAAGGGAGGCATCACTGTGGATATGTTAAATTTGGGAAGAGAGGTTCTGTCACTCTTGCCGGTGCACAGAACACCGTCTCGTGTGCACTGGGGACACGGACAGGACACTGGGGATGAGGGTCATCTCTGGAGAAGACTGGACGCTCAGATGGAGGGGAGATTTCTGTTCACTGGATAATCGCGTTTGAACTTTTCCCCTAACAGACAGGCACTGCTTTTTCTGAAGAGGAGGAGAGGGGCAGAGAGCAATAGTACCCTTCTAACTAATTATTGTATTGAAAGAGAAAATAACAACTTAAAATATAAATTATTTGAACACGAATTTAGGGTCACTACGTATCAAAACCCGCAAGATAAAGACAAAGGTGAAAATGCAGACACCACGAGTCAAGAGGAGTTAAATGGAAACAAAGTAAGCCTGATGCACCGCCCACTGTGAGGGGCGGGACCAAGCCCGGCCCGCGCGGCGGCGGTGGGATGCCTTCAGCACTGGGCAGAGGACAGACGGCACGCGCGTGCTGGGGCCAGGGCCACCTGAGAGGACAGAGGGGTATCCAGAGCTCAGGAGCCAGAGTGGACACACCCACTACCTGGACACTGGGCGGAGCACTCAAGGCCTTCTGTGAGTGTGGGGGTGGTCAGCCTGGGACTGAACCTGCTGGGAACAAGACTCAATCACCAGCCCTGGCTGGTGTGGCTCAGTGGACTGAGTGCGCACCTACGAACCAAAGGGTCGCAGGTTTGATTCCCAGTCATGTGGGCCAGGTCCCCCATAAGGGGCTTGCGAGAGGCAACCACACACTGATGTTTCTCTCCCTCTCTTTGTCCTTCTCTTCCCCTCTCCCCAAAAATAAATAAATAAAATCTTTTTTTTAAAAAAAGACTCATTCACCAGACCCAGAGCTGACAGAGGACAGACTCGGCAGAGGGCGGCGGCACGGAGCGCCAGTTGTAACTGTGCCCCGTGGATCCCAAACACCAGCAGCCGCGGCCGAGACAGAAAGAACCGCTCGCAGGGCACTGCCAGGGGCGACCCGCAGTGTCTGCTGTGAGAGCGCACTGGGTGGGGCGAGAGGGAGCTCAGACGCGGCAGGAAGGGACGGGGAAGCCGGCAGGTAGGAAGAGAAATGATCCGCCACGAGACAGAAAAATAGTCCGAAACCCAAAGCAGCATCCGCGACAGCGTGACTGTTCACTGCCTAACGGACCGGCAACCGGAGTCTCTGCCAGGCAGGGGGGACGTTTGTGAACACATAATGGCCCCAACGTGCCTGACTTACAGCAGTTACCTTGCTGAGGGGCAACCAAGGAGGAGAGTGAAAGAGCAGCAATGAGGTGGTAACCCCATCACATACACTTAAAAACACCCGCAAACAAACCAGAAAGGCGTGTGTAAACACATCGGAGAGGGGGCAGGGTCAAAGGGGGCAGGCAAAGCCAGACGAGGTTCCCAGGGGCCTGAGGGGTCAAGAGGCAGAAGTGCCAGGGGTGACCAGGTGACAATGCCACCCTCTGCCCCACGTGCGAGGGAAAAGGAAGACGAAAGGCCGCAGAGTGCACTGCTGGCGCTGGACCTTGGTGTGGGTCACGTTTCACGTGTTGTGTGTGAGTGACCTCGCACAGTCCCTTAGCACACGGGAGGACGCGTCCTCACACTTCAGACACAGAAGCAGACTACTGCACACACCTTGGTTCATGTCCCCTAAACTTTCGGGAGGTGACAGTGCTTGGGGTTCACCACCCACCCTGTGTTGTCACCCGCATGCGCCCTGGGCCCTGTACCTTCCGACATGGCGAGCTCGCTGGGCGGTGGCTGGGAGACTCCTGACGCAATGGAGTCGGGCCAAAACCTCTGCACTGGTCTGTTCTGAGCAGTTTTCTTCTTTGTTTTGGGGGTTTCTGAACAACTAGAATCCAACATCGGCTGAAGAATTCGTCTTCTAGCATTGATGAACCTGAGCATTGAGGTGGACAAAGGAAGAACTTCCGTCAAAACGGCCTTTTTAAAGACCCCTGGAAGAGCAGCAAAATCTTTCCAGGAAATAAGCTGCTTTAAAACAACACGAGCCCTGGCTGGTATGGCTCAGTGAATTGAGTGCTGGTCTGTGAACCAAAGGGTGGCAGGTTCAATTCCCAGTCAGGGCACATGCCTGGGTTGCGGGCCGAGTCCCCAGTTGGGGGCACGTGAGAGGCAACCACACATTGTTGTTTCTCTCCTTCTCTTTCTCCTTCCCTTCCCTTCGCTCTAAAAATAAATAAATAGATAAATAGATAAATAAAGTATTAAAATAAAAACAACACGAAACGATCAGAGTAACTCATCTTCCTTTTCACAACAGGTATTAGAGTGGTGACAAGCATATTATCTAAGTGTCAAAAAAAAAAAAAAAAAACAGGGCATGTGGCTTTCAAAATAACTCATTGGAATCGAGACCAACTCGCCCACGTCACCCTTTTCCCACTTTAACTGACTCAGCCCACGTCTGCGAACTGGATGTTCATGGTGATGCCGATGATACTGCCCAAACTGCAAACGTGACGCGACGTGACGCTGTTTTCTCTAGGGGAGAGGCAGGTCAAAGCAGCAGAGCTGTGTCCCCTGAAGCCTGAGGCTGTGTGTCCCCACCTGCCCGCCCTGCGCTGCGGGGCACGGAGTGGGGGATGAGCCCCGGGCCTCCAGGGCCGACTCCAGCCTCGACCACCGAGCTTTTCAAAAGGCATGCCCAAATGAGCTAGTTCCCGTTTTCTAATGTTGTATTTCGTTGATTACACTGTTACAGTTGTCGTGATTTTCCCTTCTCTGTCCCCTTCCACCCAGGCCCCCACCCACTCCCTCTGGCCATCCCCACCCACACCTTGTTCATGTCCATGGTCAGGCGTGTAAGTTCTTCGGCTGCTCCATTTCCTGTGCTGTGCTTTACACCCCCATGGCTGTTCTCCAGCTACCTGTTTGTACTTCTCAACCCCCTCACCGCTTCACCCCCCCCACAGCCCCCTCCCATCTGGCAACCATCAAAACGCTCTCCGTATCCATGGTTCTGTCTCTGTTCTTCTTGTTTGCTTGGTTTTTTAGATTCAACTGTTGACGGATAGGTATTTTTGCCATTTTATTGTTCAGAGTTTTGATCTTCTTTCTCTTAAGTCTCTTTAACATTTCATATAATAAGGGCTTGGTGATGATAAACTTCTTTCCCTTTACCTTGTCCGGGAAGCACTGTATCTGCTGTGCCATTCTAAGTGACAGCTTTGCTGGGTAGAGCAATCTTGGCTGGAGGTCCCCATTTTTCATGACTTTGAATATTTCTTGCCAGTGCTTTCTAGCCTGCAAAGTTTCTTTTGAGAAATCAGCTGACAGTCTTATGGGAACTCCCCTGTAGGTAACTAACTGCTTTTCTCTTGCTGCTTTTGAGATTCTCTCCTTATCTTTAACCTTTGGCATTTTAATTACGATGTGTTTTGGAGTGGGCCTCTTCGCATCCATTTTGTTTGGGACTCTCTGTGCTTCCTGCACTTGCATGTCTGTTTCCTTCACCAAGTTAGGGAAGTTTTCTTGTATTGTATTTTCAAGTAGATTTCCAATTTCTTGTTCTTTCTCTTCTCCTGGCCCCTCTAAGATATGACAGTTGGAACGTCTGAAGATGTCCCAGAGGTTCCTTACACTATCCTCAATTTTTTGGATTCTTTTTTCTTCTTGGTGTTCTGAATGGATATCTTTTTCTTCCTTATGTTCCAAATCATAGATTTGATTCCTGGCTTCATCCACCCTGCTGTTGATTCCCTGTAAATTGTTCTTTATTTCCATTATATATCTTTCATTTCTACCTAGGTCTTTTTTATGCTATTAAAGTACCCACTGAGTTTCTTGAGAATCCTTATAAACAGTGTTTTGAACTCTGCATCTGATGGATTGCTTATCTCCATTTTCTGGAGTTGTGTTCTGTTCTCCATTCGGGCCATATTTCTATGTCTCCTCCTTTTTGCAGCCTCCCTGTGTTTGTTTCTATGTGTTCGGTAGGGCTGCTTCGACTCCGAGTCTTGGCAGAGTGGCCTAATATAGTAGGTGTCCAAAGGGCCCAGTGGCACAGCCTCCCCTATCACCCAAGCTGGGCACTCGAGGTACGCCCTCCATGTGGGCTGAGTACTCCCTCCCTTGTAGATGAGTCTTGATTGTCATCAGCAGGTCAATGGGAGGGATTTACCCAGTCCAGACAGCTGGTAGGACTGGCTGTGACCCCTGGCTAGTAACCACCTTCCTTTGTGGCCTGTGGAGGTGGTTGGGTGGTGCTCCCACGTGGTCTGTAACTGCCCATTGGGTGTGCAGGCTCTGGGGTTTCCTGGGTGGTGCAGGCCAAGGTCCGCCTCCACCTGTGTTCTGTGTTCTGGGGCCCCTTGGCATAAGCTATAAAGCAATCAATGCCAGACAGCCACTGCTGGTGCCTGGCCTAGGGCCATTCAGCGACAGACACGGGGACTGGGCTCAGCTGTTGCTTGAGTGGATTTAGGAAGGTCCGAAGTCTGCGCCAAGCCCAGCTCTTCATGTGGAAAGCCTCTGTTGCCAGGGTGGGAAGACTGCTTGGGTGGGCTTGTAAGTTGGATGGGGCAGACCCTTAGGTAATCATCAGGGCGGAGCTTACCATGTGAGCCGGGTTGACGGAGACTCAGATATGGTGCCACTGCACTATGGCTCTGTGTGGGCGAGGGCTCGGAAAAGGTATAACGGCCGCTGTCTGCAGGTCTGTCCGGGAGGAGGTCTGTCTGGGAGGAAGCTGTCCCCCAGCTCTCGCCCTGCTGGCAGACACTTTGGTTCTTCCCTGTGTGCGCTGGTGCTGAAGCCCAAAGGAGTGAGTCTGAGTAAATGCGTGTGTGGTGCGAAGCCCTTTAGGAGGGGAAGCCTGAGAACCCTACGGTTTCCTCCACTGGCCCAACCTCACAGGTTTTCGCAGCCAGAAGTTACGGGGACTCATCTTCCTGGCACTGGAACCCTGGGCTGATTGGTCTGGTGTGAGGACAGGGTCCCTCGCTCCCTCTGAGATATATCCCTTCCTTTTACATCCACCACACGTGGGTTCGGGACCAGCCCCTTCCAGGTCTCCTCGTCTCTGCCCCTCTGTCCCTCCTACCTGTCTAGATGGACGTTGTTTCTTTAATTCCTTAGTTGTCAGACTTCCCTATAGCTCGACTTTCTGATGGTTCTGGGTGTTCTATATTTTAGTTGTAATTTAGCTGTGGTTGTGCGAGGTGACAAGCCATGTTTACCTATACCTCCATCTTGACCAAGAAGTCCTAAGGTTGCTTAATTTTAATTTTAAAGATTTTATTTATTTACTTTTAGAGCAAAGGACATGGAGGGAGAGAAATATCAATGTGCAAGAGATGCACAGATCGGCTGTCTCTTGCTCACCCCCAGCTAGGGACCTGGCCCACAACCCAGGCATGTGCCCTGAGTGGGAATCGAACCGGCAACCTCTCAGTTCACAGGCCGGCACTCAATCCACCTAGCCACATAAGCCAGGGCTAATTTTTTTAAATATATTTTATTGATTATGCTATTACAGTTGTCCCATTTCCCCCCTTCTCTCCCCTCCACCCTGTATACCCTCTCCCACCCACATCCCCCCCTTTAGTTCATGTCCATGTGTCATAAGTCCTTTCGTTTCTACAGTTCCCATACTATTCTTGCCCTCCCCCTATTTTCTACCTACCATCTATGCTACTTATTCTCTGTACCTTTCCCCCTCTCTCCTCCTCCCACTCCCCTGTTGCTAACCCTCCATGTGATCTCCATTTTTGTAGTTCTGTTCCTGTTCTAGTTGTTTGCTTAGTTTCTTTTGGTTTTGCTTTAGGTGTGGTTGTTAATAATTGTGAGTTTGCTGTCCTTTTACTATACATGTTTTTTTTTATCTTCTTTTCTTAGATAAGTCCCTTTAGCATTTCATACAATAAGGGCTTGGTGATGATGAAGAGCCAGGGCTAATTTTAAAACCCTGAGATTTGCTCTGGCCAGGTGGCTCAGTTGGTTGGAGCACCAACCTGTAAACTGAAAGGTTGTGGGTCTGTTTCCCAGTCAGAGCACATAAGTAGGTTGTAGGTTCTACCCTTGGCCGGGGCATGTATGGAAGGCAACTGATTGATGTGTCTCTCTTACATCAATGTTTCTCTCTCTAAGACCAATGAGCATGTCCTGGGGTGAAAATTAAAAAAAAAATAAACCCTAAGCTTCAAGAACGTGTCAAACTGCATTTGGACACATCTAATAATGCACATGACAGACTGACGCCACGGAGCTCGCCCGGCGCCCATCTCCAGCCCCGCAGCACCAGCGTGGCCCAGAAGAGACACCCTCACGGCAGCTCTGCCATCCCCTGACGCCAGCGGCGCCTTGGAGGGAAGTCCGCTGCTCCTTCCCAGGACCCGCTGCTTTGGCTAATCATGGGTATGTTCAATCTCAGTCCATGATGCAATTTTTGTGAATATAAAAGAAGCGAAGAAAAAGTCACAAAGAGTAAAAGTAGCTATACCTATTAAAAGATTTTAAAAATTTTCAAACTTACAAAAGTCATGTCATTACACTGTGAGTGTTCTTAAAAATTAAAAGTGGGTGTTACACCTCCTAGATAAGACCATTCTCTGAACACCGCAGAGCAGCCAGTTGGGGAACACAAGGAAGTCCACCAACAAGGGAAAGTAAGGAGAGGACTGCACAGGGACCAGGCATCGGGACACTCGAAGAAGGCATTCTGTGTCTGCTATTCCTCTGAGTCAGCCGCTCACTATCGTGACTAAATCAAAACAGGAGGTTTCAACACAAGACTGTGTGAGTACCACCAAGTGCATGCAAGACATTACAAACATCAAAGCAACAATATCTCAAACATCAAACCTTTAGATTTCTGTTAGTACTCTAATTAAAAATATTTAATAAGGACTAATCCATATAGAATAGTTATTTATGCTACTCCCCTCCAAAAATAATGGCTCAAATGTGAGATAACAGAAATATTTAATGCAATGCAAAAGCATACCTCCTGTATGTTTAACTGCCAAAATTAGAAGATTTTATCATTATATTGGAACTTAACTGACCTTCAGGTTTAAGTTTTTACAGTTAAAATAAGAATATACCCATGTGTACAAGTGCTAGAATTTGTGCTGTCTTTTCTTTTCTGCATGGAAACTTCATAAGTTGAAATCACTTCCTATGTCCAAATAATAAGTAAATACACCCTAGACGAAGGGTCGACAAAGTCTCAGAGCACCCTAGACCTTGGCACCCCTAGTACCGTGGACAGCTCTCCCTGAAGGAGAACACGTGGTCAGGGTGCGGGTGTCCCCAGCCACGTGTGACCCAGGACCCGAGCAGGATGGTTCATTAAGAAAGTAACTGTCATGCTGAACATCTCCCACTTAAGACCCCCAGGTCCCGCTGTGGGGCAGGACCGCCACGCGGACGGTGGAGGAGCTGCCTCCCCCAGCCACGGCTGACAAGGGGACACAGGTGTGGAACGGCGGAAGAGCTGCAGAGGGGCCACCAGAGGTCAGGACGCCTCGTCCTGGCTGTCTACTGCCCGGGAGGTTGGCCATGGAGACACCACATCTCTGAATGAATGGGGGGACTTGTTGACAGTAACACAACAGAGAAACACACTTCTAGTCGGGTAAGTAGGATGTAAGCAAAAAGCTCACAGTGAGGCGTTGATCATGAAAAATGTAAGTGAAGGTGTGTGCTCACTCTGAGTGTCTGCCACCAGTGCCAGCACTCAGATAACCGAGTACTGCTCGTGAAAAGAGCTCAGCTTTCCGACACATGCTACTGGTCACGAGCGCCAGCCAGCGTTCCCAAGTGCCCCACGGCACCGACGGGCACAGTTCGGGGCGGCGGGTCTTACCAGTTGTTGACTTGGAGCAGCGTCAGGTTTGTCTGGGCGGCAATCTGCTTTTTCTCGTCTTCCGTCGGGTAGGGGTGCTGAAGCGAAGAGGGGTTACCGTGAACTTCGGTTGTTAAAGGGGGACTCAGGATTTTCTAGGTAAAGCAGCGGCACGCAAACCACCACTGGTAAATAACCGGCGAGTATCAGTCCATACTGCTCTCAGCGAAAACCCGACTTCCGTCTCACGGTTTTTAGGGGCATGCGAACAGAGCGGAGTGTTTCCCCGGCCGCCCAGGAGCACCCTGGCAGCGGCTGGTTACAGCCCGGGGCTCCGAGATGGCTGCGCTGACACCGCTGAGTCCTGCTGTCACCCCAGGTGCTGTCCTAAGCCCCTGATACGTCCACTGCTTTTGCATCAACTTGACCGAGGAGTAATTCATGAACCATAAATGGCACCCATTTGAAGTGGGTCAAGGTGGGGTCTGGCCTCATGAAGCCGGGGGCGCAGCAGGCACGGGACACCCCTGTCCCCTCTGCACGCCCTGCAGCAGTTCACCGGCCCCTCGCCGTCGCCCCTGAGCCAGGCGGCCCTGACTCCACAGAGGAGGCAGCCGGGGCGTGGACAGTGTACGGACTCCCCCCACGCCCCGGCTGGCTCCACAAGGCAGCGGGAAGGGGCTAGGCAGGCTGCTCCATGCCGTCACTTCGGGTGACAGGTCTCTGCACAGGGACCTCAAGGAGAGACCGCTATGGGATGCACTTATGTGCTCTAAGGCTTTTCTGGAACAATCTCAGCTAGGTTCACATGTGCTGTCGACAAAGAACCCAAACGGGGTGGGGGCATCTGTTAGATCCCCTTCTTTTATGTATTATTAAAACATTTCACTTAAAAAAGAGAGAATTAAAACAGAAGTAACTCTCAAAATTCACAGAAGCCACAAAGGGAAATAATGTCCATTTATGGCAATGAACGGCCTCTCCAGCACTGAGCACTGTCCACGTGCAGAAGCCAGTGAGACGTGCGCCCTGACACCTGAGGGCACAGAAACCTGTTTCGCGCCAACCAGGGCCCCCGAGCGTGAACAGCACCCCTGGAGCGGGAGGGGGTGTCAGTTCTTACTTCCAGTGGGCACCCAGGATGCTGAAGGCACTGTGCCTGAGGGGGACAACGGAACAGCATCCGAAGGACCTCGGCAGCGGTCTGTCTGTTCCCTCACCCTGACTGGTGGTGACTCAATTAGATTCTAGGGACGAGCGTATGGCTTCTTAGGAGAAAAAAGTGGCATTTTAACTGAACCGATGAGCAGGGTTGTTGTTTTAGAAATTATTAAAACATTAAAGGACACTGAGCAGGAAAACCAATCCCACCACTTACTTGTGCACATTCTAACATTGCATCACCACTATATTTATTGGTTTCAGACTCACAATATACCTAAAAACATCTTCTTTTTCACTTACCACCACCTACCTGAAGCCTCCTAGTGCCTGCTTATCACACTAACTAGCTGTATAATATTCTATCGAGTTGATGAGCTCTAATTCATGTACTAACTTGTGTCCCATTAGGATAGTGAACATCATCGTACCACTTTATCCATAAAATCTTTCATTTTCTTGTCTTTGTAGGACAAATTCCTAGACAAGGTCACACTGTCCCTTCTCCTGACACCCGCTGCCACGTCCTGCTGGTGGGAACGGCCCGACAGAGAACAGACACCAGATAGGGGCCCAGCGCCGGGGGGGAGCTCGGGGCCTCAGGAAGGGAGGGTCCCCCCTCCTCCCAGGACTGCTCGGTGACAGCACAGCCAGCAGGCCCCTGCCCCGCAGGGAAGGAGCCTGATGCCAGCTGGAGGACAGTGGGGCGTGAGACAGGGACAAGGGACAAACCCAGAGGGAGAGGAGACGGCTGAGACCGGGTGCTGGCCTCGGGGCTCCCAGTCGGGGCCCCACCCAGTGGAGAGAGGCGCCTGGGCGGCAGGGTGAGGGCGGAGGGTGGGCATGGGGGGGACGTGGGCCTGACGACACCACCGGCGCCAGGACGGAGACGGAGGAGGTGGGGGTGAGGAAGCGGCCAGCGCTGGAGACACCAGTGGGCTGTGACAGCCGCCAGGTGAAGCGCCAGGTCTGGTGCCAGCCCAGCTCTCAGGCACAGCCCGGGGGCCGGCGCCGCTGAAGGAGCAGGCGTCCACTGCACTCGGCGACAGTGACCATGGGCGGAAGCGCCTGGCCTCGCGCTGGTTCGTGAGGCTGCCGGCTGCCTCCGATCAGACCTCCTTTCCCGCGTCCCTCCGCACCCCCACGGGCGCTGCCCTGCTCAAGCGTGGCTGCAGCTCAGCGGGGAGCACCCACCTTCCCGCCCCTGCTCCCACCCGCTCCCCTGGCGGCCCTCCGGCTGGTCCTGACCCTGGCCGCCACCCTGGGAGTCGCCCCTGACAGCTACTCTGGGCCGCAGGCCTGCCCGCGGTCAGGGGTGCGAGGACCGAGGGGCTCAGCCTGGTAAAGAGTGAGCGTCCCGGTACATCACATCACGGACAAGGGTGTGCTTCCCGAGACAAGACAGCCTCGCAGGGAAGACGCGGCCACAGCCCCGGGAGGAAACTGGGCGCCCAGACAGCTGCGGGGGATCGGGGCCCCCTCCTGGCCCAGCCGCCTCCCAGGTTCCACAGGCCTCTGCCGGGCCCTCTGTCCACACGCCCACTCTCTCCAGCCCTGTCTGGGGGCCTTCACGCACATCTGCCTCAAAAACCCAACACGGGCTCCAGCGCTACATGGAGGTTCTGCCCACACGCCTCTTCTCTCTGCCCACGGCTCCGGCTGGACCCACCCCGCCCCGCCCGCCCCTCACATGCGGCTCCTCCCACACGCGCGAGAGACCGAGACGAGCTGGACCGACTCCCTCTTCCCCAGGGGTCCCCCATTCCACCTAAGTTCCTTGAAGAGATGTCCTCCACTTTTTGGTACCCCTCCCCTCTGTCCCACACTCAACCCCCACGGACAGTTAGCAAAATACAGGCGGTGGAGGCCAGGCCTACTAGCGTGCATAAGCCGCTTTTCCCTGGAAAAGCCAGAAAGCAAGCCGGGCAGAGGCCGCCGCGCGCTCACCCCTATGTGCTGGAAGAGCCAGGACCGCATCACGCTGGTGGCGTGCTTCGGCAGGACCCCCCTCTTGTTCTTGGAGGAGCCGTCGTCTTGATGCAAGATGCTCATGTCTTGGTTTAACTGCAGCTGAAGCTTTTAAACAATGGAAAGCTGGTGTTAGAAAGCACAGACAATTACGACACGTCCAAGAGGCTCACGACTCCCGGCAGAGGAAACCACCACAGATCTGGGCGAGAAACGACCTGCTGACAGCAGAGGCACACACACCGCCCCCAGGCTCTGGCTCCCTCCGCCTCGTAACCACCCTCCCCGCAGTGTCCCGGCCGGGCCAAGGCCCCGTCGGGCAAGGCGGGCGGGACGGATGCTGAGCAGGCCCGAGTCGTCACCTGCAGACAGGTGAGTCCCACGTCTCGTTCACCGTCTCGCTTCCTCTAGGAACGGACATGATAACACCCGAGTCCCTGGCCTCCAAGAGATTTCAAGCAACCACCGAGGACGGACAGGGAGCTGAAAGGACCCCCGGCTTGAGGAGGTCATGCCAGTGGGACAGCAAGGACGGAACGGCAGCACGCGCCGTGCATACCAAGGGCTCCCAAGGCGAAGGCTGAGGAGCCGGCCTCTGCGGGGGCCTCGGCAGCCACTGGGAACCGCACCTCCCTCACCCAAGAGAAGCAGGGAACGCTCTCCGTAGCCCCATGTTGACAAGAGGGGACGTGCACAACACCCCCTAGGTAGGCGTCTCACGCACACCTAGAAAAGACGGAGGTACAGGCCCTGCTGGGCCCCGGCACTGCCCAGGCGCAGCCTCTCCCTCCAGGTGCGCCTACAGGTGGTGTTGCAGCCGTCACCACGGACGGACGCTGCCCTGCGGGGGCGGGAGTGAGCCCCGCCTAGAGCTGCACGTGCACACAGGTGGCCTACCAAGTACGGGACCAAAATCAGTTCTCAACACTGTGCACTTCCCAGGCCCAGAAAGCAGCGAGTGGGGGCTTCCACAGACGGCCGTCCTCAGGGGGGTGTCACAGGGAAGTCCGAGGACACCCCCATGCAGGGCCTGGGCAGAGAGCAGCCTGCGCACGGGAGCCCGGAGGGCCGAGAGCTCCGGGACGAGACCGGCCCTGACGTGGGACGCAGGCTGGTGCATGGGCACCACTGAGAATACTGAGGGTTTGGCCATCGGCACCAGGGACACTGAGCAAAGGGGAAAATCAAACAGTGACCAGCTCCGGGAGAAGCACACCCCCACACCCCCATGGGGGGCCTCGGAGACGTAGAAAACAGCTGGGCAGTCGAAAGGCAAGGTGACGACACTCAGGAGGAATCAATGCTCTTGGATGAGAACGGGGAACAGAGACACTGTCCTTCTGAATTAAACCCAGCTAAGTGCAAAAGTGTGTGTGTGCAAGTCCAAAACTCAGAGGGGTCTGGGGGACCACCAAGTCCAACCACATTCTACCAAAGACACAGAGAGGACAGGGCCATCCTAAGGTCATGGCATGTTATTCCCTTCTCAGCTCTCTCGCTGCTGCCCTCGGAGCTGCCTCGTGCTCTGGGAGCTGGTGGGCCATGGGGTGGGGGGAGTGGGTAGCAGCGGACCAGCCTTCTGGAAGCAGGGCCCCCAGGGGGCAGCGAGGAGAGGGCAAGAGGGAGCCCTCTCTCAGGTGTCTCCCCAGGGTGTGGGGCAGGGCATTGAGCAAGTGGCCCCGGACACCCCGAACTCTGTGCCACCTCAGCAGGGCCTCACCAGGGAGGCTGGGGGAAGCTTTGCAGAGTGCATAGGCCACGGCCTGGCCAACACTCTCACGCTGGGGGTGCCGGCCAGCCGGTCGCGGTCCGAAAATCTGCCTGAGGATCTGCTGTGACCTGGGGGTGGAGGGCAGTGCAGCTCCATGGCCTCAGGTCTCCTGGCTCAGAGTCAAGTGCACGACTGGACAAGACGGATTGCTCGAGGGGAAGGTAATGGGTGACTTTTTTCCTGCTTCCTTAGACTTTTCTGAACTTGGTGACTTTTTTACAGTTAGCGGGGTGAAGAGTGAAAAACAAAACAGTACATTCAGGTTGACTGGTGGCTGCTGCATAACAGCGAGTCTGAGGGAACCGCCACAGCCTGCCTGTACCTGTGCAGCCGCACCCCGCCCCCGCCCGCCCATCCTGCCGGAGGGAAGGCACACGCACCTGGGAGTTCTGGATCCTGATCGTTCCCGGTGACAACGCCTGTGTCACTACTTGGCCTTGTGGAGTGACAACTGTAACAGGCTGATAAACTGTGCCACCTCAAAAATGAAGAAGAAAAAAAGTACATTTAGATCTCAGTGTCTTAAAGCCAATCTTCTCACTACACTATGAAATGAATAAAGTCACCAGTTTGATGAACTTTTTTTTATCCTTATCCATCTTTTCTCCACTGTTTTTAGAGAGAGGAAGGGACAGAGAAAGAGAGAGAGAAACATCAACAGGTTGCCTCCCGTATGCACCTGGACTAGGAATCGCAAACGCCTGGACTGGGGATGGAACCTGAAACCTCGTTGTGTGTTCTGACTGGGAATCAAACCTGCAGCGTTTCGGTTACACGATGATGCTCCAACCAGCTGAGCCACACTGGCCAGGGCTGATGGGCTTTTCACATCATTTCAAATGACCCACAGTTTGCTAGCCGACCTGTCACTGTAAATTATCAAAACGAACTCACAGCACAAGCAGCGCCCAGGTGGCGCCACGTGGCGGACACCCCTGCGGTCCTCACAGACGGCACCCGGGACACTGCTGGCTCAGGGGCCTGCGCCTCCACGCCCTGTGCTCACCTACGTTTTCTCAATACGTCCCCACAATTAGCACATATCTAAGGACTTGGCCAAAGGTGTCAGATGACAAATATTTTTACTGTAGTTCTCTTTCTGATCAAGTGTGCTTTATTTCCTGTGGAAGCTTCCCTTTGTGCTATGACATGGATTTTTTTAGTGTAAATTTCTCCTCCTCCTTTTATTTTCATGATGGCCTTGTATGTGCAACGTTCTACGTGCACCAGAGGACTCAAGAATTTGTCCCCTCCTGTGACAGTTTTTATTACACAAGTTAAACCAAGACTAAGATGCATCTGTACTTGCTTGTCATCAGTTAATGACATGATTTACTATCTCCCAGGTGCTGCTAAGACAACAATTAAAAACCATTATAGGAAAATTACAATTAGTTTTTGCTATGAAGTTTCAACTCCTATATAAAACCTTTCTTCCTAACATTTTTCGGTAGGAAAAGACAATATGTGTAAAGTAACTGTCATTGAAAATTAAAAAGAAACAAACACTCAAAGAGGTCTAGATTTGGGGACTCCTATTAGGGAACTGGCATGAATTAAAAGTTATAGTTATATATATATCACCATGCTACTCTGAATGAGTTTTTCTGCACAGCTCAAGGAAAGGTGTCCCTCCATCCATTGCCATACCTGCCACCGTTGCCATGGTTACGTTCCCCTGCTGCAGCGCAGATGCAGGCACCACGATTCCTTGGGGGCTGAGAGTGCCTGTGATGGCGCTTTGAATCTGCTGTAAGTCAGAAACACACAGGGAGGGCTATTAGGAAACAGAACACCCAGGGTGAAAAATTCCAAACAAGTGGCATAATGGCATCATTGCCAAAGGGGACTCTTGAGGCAAAGAGCACAGTCAGCTGGCAGGCTGTCTCGGAGGCAGGCTGCAGGCACCTGGACACCAGGGGAGACGACGAGACTGACCGACTATCAGAGGTGAGGGTCAGTGCTAAGATGCTAGTTTCGACTGGCTCCCAAAAGACCACCTTCCACCTGCCTCGTCACAGGCGAGCCACACCTTACAGCCCTGTGGGCCATGACCAGGGACACCAAGATCGCCTCATCTCACCCCACGCCTTCTCCACTCGATTCGGCTTGGGCCCTGGATCCTCCGACAAACAGCGCCTCCCCGACAAGATGAGCACTTTCAGGAGAGTACGCCACAGGTTTGGGAGGTTCTGGGTGGAGACGGGGAGCCACCCCAGGCTTGCACAGCACTGTGCCCCGCTGATGTTAGCACGCACACATCTCTGTGTGTGCACGCGTGTGGAGTACTGGGCCTGGGCCTGGCCCGCAGCGCACTCCACGTAAACATGCGTGGGTACCATGTTGGAGAGTCTACTCATCCAACGTTAGAGCCAAACAGGCTAATTTACCCACTGACTGACGGCTGGCTTCGTGGTTGGGGAGGGAAGGGATCCCCGCACCTGGCACCCAGCCTGCGGTCCGGCACACGCAGGCACCCGGACATCCGAGCAGACAAGCAGCACAGAGGCTACCCCCCAGAGGGGTTACTCTGAAAGCTTTGGCAGGCACACGCCAAGTAGGCTACATTAACGTGGTCAGAATAAAGCTAAGCCATCAAATCAATGACCCGAGCTCACACATCAAAAACCTAAAAAAAAGAGGAACAAAATAAAATCAAAGCAAGCAAAAGGTAAGAAGCAATAAAGATCGAAGCAGACAACAATGAAATGGGAAACAGAAAAAGAGCAGTGAAAAAAGAGTAGGTTCTTTGATAAGATGGACAGGCGGACAAACCTCTGGCCACACTGACAGAAGAAAAGGGAGAGACAAGTGACCAATGTCGGAAGCGGGGGGTCGCGGCAGACCTGGCCGACGCCGAGAGGAGGAGGAGGAGGACCGCGACCTGGGCACGGAAATTTGACATCGCAGACAAAATCCGACTGAAGCAGGGAATATGGATAGCCCTGTAACTATTACGGAAACTACATTCATAGTTTAAAAACCCCCAAAAGAAATCTCCAGCCCAGCTGGTGTCACTGGAGAACTCTATCAGACATTTAGAGAACAACGAGTACCAATTCTCGGCCCTCCCAAAGTCAGAGCGGGAGGGAACGCCCTCCAGCTTGTTTCCTGGAGCCTGCACTTCCTGACCCCAAACCGAGCCTAAGGCCGTGCCAGGAGAGACAGCTGCAGACCAGGGTCCCTCACTACAGACACAAAGATGCCCAACAAAATGTTACCGAACTGAATTCAGGAATCCACTTAAAAAGAACTACCTGCTACGACCAAGTACAGTTTACTCCAGGAATCCAAGGCGTGTTCCATACTCAAAACCTCAATGTAATCTACCATATTATCAGGCAAAAGAAAAAAAAATCACATAATCATATCAATCCATGCATTTGACAAAATTCAAAGTAATAAAAACTCTCAGAAAAATAGGAATAGAGGGGAACTGTCACAACTTGATAAAGAGCATCTAGGGGAAAAAAACTACCATTAAAATTAAAATTAATAGTGAAAGGCTGAACATTTTCCTCATAAGATTGGGAACAAGCAAAGGATGCCAGCTTTCACCAATCCTATTCAAGATAGTACTGGATGTTCTAGCCAATAAGGCAAGAAAAGAAAATTAAAGGTACACAGATCGCAAAGGAAGAAAGAGAACTGTCCTATTTGTAGATGATATGACTAAACAGGTAGGAAATCCTGAGGAATCTACATAAAGGACCTCCTAGAACTAATAAGTGAACTCAGCAAGGCCACAGGATACAAGATAAATATTAAAAAACCAACTGTATTTCTATAAAATATCATAGACAATGAAGTTTTAAAAATATAATACCATTTATAATTGCTCAAAAAGATAAAATACAGCCCTGGCTGGCGTAGCTCAGTGGATTGAGCGCGGGCTGTGAACCAAAGTGTCGCAGGTTTGATTCCCAGTCAGGGCACATGCCTGGGTTGCAGGCCATGACCCCCAGCAACCACACATTGATGTTTTTTCTCTCTCTCTTTCTCCCTCCCTTCCGTCTCTAAAAAATAAAATAAAATAAAATCTTAAAAAAAATAAAAAATAAAAATAAAATAAAATACTTCGGTGTAATCCTAAAAACGCATGTGCAGGACACATGTGGAACACTGTAAAACACTAGTGAAGGAGACTCTTGGAGAATGGACCAGTGGGGAGGCACAGCGTGTGCGGGCTGGAAGGGTTAACACAGCAGCCAACACGTCAGTTCTCCCCAGAATGACGGACACATTTAATGCAATTCCTATCAAGATCTCAGTAACATTTTTTTGTAGATATAGACAAGATTATTCCAAAATTTATGTGAAAAGGCAAAGGAACTAGAAATAGCGAAAATATTTTGAGAAAGGATATTTTGAAAAAGAATAAGGTGAGAGGACTCCGTCTACCCAATTTTGAGCCCTAACACGCAGTAGTCAGGACTAGACGGCGCAGACCCACAGGCAGTGCAACAGGAGGAACGCTACAAACACGCCCAACTGACTTCCGACCAAGGCGCACGTCCAGTCCAACGGGGGAGGAGCCTTTTCAACAGACGGCACTGGAGCCACTGGACAAACCCTCACACTGCATACAAAAGTTAACTCAAAACCAATCATGGGTTTTAATGTAAAATATAAAGCTTTTAGGAAAAAGTAAGAGAAAAATCTCCGGGACATAAGGCTAGGCACAGAGTTCCTAAACTTGACACCAAAATCACAACTAATTAAAAAAAGATGATAAATAGGAACTATCAATATTAAAAAATATTGAATAATAGTAAGTCCAGAAATAAATCCTCGCTTATATGGTCAATAAATCTACGACAAAGGAGGCAAGCATATCAAGTAGGGTAAAGGCAGTCTCTCTAATAACTGTTGGAAAAACTGGACAGACACATGCAAAACAATTTCAATTGGACCGCTTACTTAGACGCTTTACAAAAACAATCTCAAAATGGATGGAAGATTTAGATGTAAGACGTGAAACCATAAAACTCCTGGAAGAAAACGTAGGCAGTGGGCTCCTGGATACTGACCTTAGCTATAGCTTTGTGGATGTTTCTCCTGAAAGGAAAACTACACAAATAGGACCACATCCAACTACAACGATTTTGCACAGGAAGAAAACCTAGTGGTTTTCTCCAACAAAACAAAAAGACAACCTACCAAACAGTAGAAGATATTCACAAATGCCACATCCGGTAAGGGGTTAATATCCAACATATATAAGGAACTCACACACACACAACCCGACCCGATGAAAATGCAGGCAGAGGACCCGAGGAGACATTTTTCTAAAGCAGGCATACAGATGGATGACTGACACGTGGGACGATGCTCAACATCACTCAGCGTCAGGGAAACGCATAGTAAAACCACAGCGAGGTATCACCTCGCACCTGTCAGACGGCTGTCACCACCGAGTCAACGAACAAGTGCTGGCGAGGACGCGGAGAAAGGGCCCTCGAGCACTGCTGGCGGGAATGCGGACTGGAGCAGCCGCCGCGGAGACTCAGAAAGTCAGGACCAGAACTGCCACACGGTTCAGCAACTCCACTTCCGGGCGTTGAGCCCACGAACAGACAATGCTGATTCAGTAAGACAGAGTCACCCCTGTGTTCACTGCAGCATTACTTACAACAGCCAAGACACGGAGGCAACCAAAGTGTCCGTCAACAGATGAATGGATAAAAAAAGTGTGGTGTACATATACAATGGAATATTATTCAGCAACAAAATAATGAAATCTTGCCATCGGAGACCTGAATGGACCTGGAGGGTACCATGGAGAGTAAAAATATGACAACCACCACACGAGTAACCTAAAAGGACAAATGAATAAACAACAACGACAGCAAAACCAGAAACAGACAAACGGATATAGGGGACAAGCTGATGGTTGCTAAAAGGGAGAGGGTGGGCGGCTGGGAAATGAAAATTAAAAATAAATGAACAGCCCTGACCGCCACGGCTCAGTGGGCTGCGTATCGCCCCGCCAAGCGAAGGGCGCCGGTCAGATAGACTCCCGGTCAGGGCACACGCCTGGGTGTGAGCCAGGTTCCCCGTGAGAGGCAGCCAATCAGTGTTTCTCCCTCACACTGGTGTTTCTCTCCCTCTCTCCCTCCCTTTTCCTCTCTTTGAAAATAAATAAAATCCTTTTAAAAAATTATTATTAAAAAATAAAGTAAAATAAAATAAAATAAAATAAAATAAAGACCGGAGGAAATACTTGCTCTGTAAAAGACCCTGTTAAGAGTATAGAAAAAATAGAGCCCTGGCTGGCGTAGCTCAGTGGATTGAGCGCGGGCTGCAAACCAAAGTGTCGCAGGTTCGATTCCCAGTCAGGGCACATGCCTGGGTTGCAGGCCATGACCCCCAGCAACCGCACATTGATGTCTCTCTCTCTCTCTCTCTCTCTCTCTCTCTCTCTCTCTCTCTCTCTCCCTCCCTTCCCTCTCTAAAAATAAATAAATAAATAAAAATAAAAATAAAAGAGTATAGAAAAAATAAGCTACAGACTTGGAGAAAATATTCGCAAACTATATACCCAATAAAGGACTAGTACCTAGGCTTCCCTAAAAAGTCAACAGTTTAAAAATAACCCAATTAGAAGCCGGGCAAGAGATGCGAGAAGACCTTCTGCCGCAGAGGACACACGGACGGGAAGTTAGCACACGGGGAGACGGTCACCACCGTCGCCCAGCAGGGAGCCGCAGGCTCCGCCCACATGCACGCGCCGCAGCCTGCCGCAGGGCTCCAGTGCGCAGGGGCCCTGAGGTCACTCCCCGGTGAGATATGCCAAATACGAAAGCACAAATGACTCCCCTTACAGAAGGTCCCCAGAGGAGTTTCCGTGTGGGAAGATGGAAAGTTCTGGAAGTGGACAGTGGCGGTGTCTGCACACCAATGTGCATGTGCTTAGGACCACTGCACTGCACACTTAAACATGGTTCGGAGGGTCAATTTTGTGATGTGTGTACATTCCCACAGTTTAAAAACATACTGTGAGGAGAAGCAGTGGATGGAGCTCCAGAACCACGGGACTCAGGGACCCGCACGCAGGTCGGGGGCCCCACTGCACTCACTGCCCGGGGCCAGAGGGGCTGGCTCTGGGCTTCGCGCTCAGTCCAGGCTCCGGCTGGGAGCTGGAGGCCCTCTGAACAGGAGAGCCACCGTGACAGCCGCAGTGCTGAAAGGACCAGTGGTCTCGGACCGGACCGGACCGGCACCGCCCACCCTTGCGGGGTGGCAGCAAGCAGGAAGCAGGGCGGGACCCGAACGTAAATACCTGGGACTGGACAGGGGAGTACGGGCTTCCAGGCTCCCCGCTCAGGAGAGTTTCACTGTTCATTTTCGTTTTTAGACAAGCAATGTATCGACTGCAGAAATCTTTGCAGAGTTCATTAACCTTTTCCAGCTCAAGGAGGTGAATACGCAAAACCTGGATTGCTTTTACCATCTAGAAGCAGAGAAAATGGAGACTTTCAGACAAGAAAAGGCAGCATGACATCAAGTTATAATTACCACCACCTGGCGCCTTACTCTCCGGTACGGACCTCAGCGAGCACAGCGGCGGGCCGCAGCCAGCTTCACCCCTGCCTCCAGCCCCTGGGGCAAACTACCAACTCTCCGTTGCTCCCACTTCTCCATCTGTGAATGCGGGGGGACCCAGACGCCCTCGTAGGTGGTTCTGCATTCTGATAAAGTTTCTGGATCGTGCTTTTGGTGTCAAGTCTAAGTGCTGGTGGCCTAGCCCCAGACTAGCCCTAGATCCTAAAAGTGTTCTCTTTATGATTTTTCTAAGTTTCACGATTTTATACTAATTAACTAAGTTTTGAGGGCAGTGTGTCCCACGGCAGGAGATAATTATAACACTGATAATAAAACCATTACCGTGAGCAGCACCTGCCTGTGCATTCACACCCCAAAGCTCAGCTACTCCGGCCGTGACCTTGGCATAGTAACGTCCAATACTTGTGGAATGAACCAGTCGGTCCGTTGGTAATGAGGATACCAAGCGTCAAGCCCTCCAGGCCCTGTGCTCTCACACCAGTCAGGAGACCCTCGGTCCCTGCCAGCCCGGGACCACGGGGGCCACTGCTGCCCCCCACTCGGCGATGGCGGGCTGTGTGACAGAGATCCGGGGGCAGAGAGAGCGGCCGGCCCTAAGCCCAAAAGGGCAGGCACTGCCAGCCCTGTTTCCAACATGAGGACACAGACTCGAAGTCAAACAACTCACCCACAAAATCTATTAGGTTATAAGGGTGAAATGTGGAACAAGAAACTTAAAAAGCAGCAGCAAGAATTAAGACCCAGACAATTTATTTAGGAAAAAGATTTCCAAAGGCCCTTTTCTGCTGGCCAGGGCCTGACGAAGGCTGTGGTCTGGGAGCTGGCAGGCTTTAACGGGAGCCCAGTGAGGGCCCCGGACAGCGCCAGCAGCGCCCCCCAGTACTGACTGGCACCACTCCCCGCGGATGCAGCAGTGACGTTACCTCCAAGGAACTCTCTGTCTTCCTTCAGAAAGCAGAGAGCCCCGAGTTTCAGAGCACTGGGCCTGGGAGGGGCCCGGATGTGAGACAGTCCCGCTCCGGACAGACAGGCCACGGGAGGCGGCGAGGGGCCTCAGTGACCTTCGGTAAGCCTCCCCCTGCTCTGTGCTGGCGGGCCTCCCCAGTTTGTCGTGAATTTTGTCACCCACCACAAACCAGTGTGAGCCTCAAGACAGAGCTGTCTTGTAGAGTGAAGCCACATGTCCACGATCAAGGGAAAGCCAAGGGCTGATGTGGGGCACAGACACACGGCCGGAGAACGGGGCAGGTGAGCGCGCCAACCCCAGTGAACCTGCCCAGGTGCTCAGGGGAGAGCTGGGTCCTCTGGGCCATCTGGGATGCAGGCCGAAACCAGCTTAACCACCAGGGGAAAGGGCGGCGGGAGAAGGCTGGAGACAGTCAAGCCACACACACACACGCACACACACACACACGTTATTGGATGAAGTGCAGTATGCTCCCCTTTAGCAGAACTACAAATAGTCTAAAGTTCTAACTCGAAGTTTAAAATTTATTGACCAGATTTTAAATTTGGAAGAAATAAAATACTTATTTTACTCACCAAATTGTCAGTTTCTGGGTCTTCACAAAAGAAGGGTTTTCCTTCCTTCTCTTGCTTCCTTACAAAGTTTTCAATGTCCACGTCGAAACTGGCAGAAGTCGTGCCTTCCGAGCCCTGCGTGGACTGCTCACATTTTTCGAACAGCAAGGCCAACAGCGGAAACAGTGGGTGCCTGGGGGGAGAGGAAGAACGTGGGTGCTGCACGTCTGCACGTTTCGGTGTGTGCGTGTGGAGGAGGTGCTGGACCTGTGGGCTTCATGGAGATGGAACTCACAGAGCATGGCATTCATCCACCCCAAGTGTACGATCCGATAATCTTTAGTATGCTCACAGAGCTGTGCAACCAGCACCAGTGAATGCAGAACATTCTCGTCGTCCCCAAAAGAAACCCTGTAGCCTCCAGTAGCCACTCTCCATTTTACCCACAAGCCCCAGCCACAGGCCACCACAATCTGCTTTTGGTCTCTAGAGATTTGCCAATTCTAGACGTTTCGTATAACACGGACCTTTAGTGTCTGGCGTCTTTCACTTAGCCCAACGTTTCCGAGGTTCACTGATGCTGTGACAGGTTGTCAGTACCTCGTTCCTTTTTATGGCCGCATAATATTCCATCGTAATGGGTGCACCAATTTCACAGTTTTAAAATTGACGTTTAGTTCTATGGTCCATTTTGAGTAAATTTTTCTATAAGATGTAAGAGTAGATCAAGGATCTTTTTTCTGCACATAGGTGTCCAATTGTTCTGATACCATTTGCTAGAAAGTCTGCCTTTTCCCTTCCGAACTGTTTTTATATTTTTGCTAAAGATCCGCTGATTCATATTTGTGTAGATTTATTTCTAGACTACCTGTGGCATTAATCTATGTGTCTATTGCCTCACAAATGTCACAATATCTTAATGACTGTAAAGTGATAGCAAATCTTATGATCAAACAGACTCGTCCTTTATTCTTTTTCACAATTGTTTCAGTTGATCTAGTTCTTTTGACTTCTATATAAAATTTAGAATGAACTTGTCTATACAAAAATATCCTGCTAAAACTTAATTGGAATTGCGCTAAGTCTATAGATTGATTTTAGGAAAACTGACATCTTTATTAAGTTGAGCCTTCCGATCCACGGACATGGTATGTTCTGCCATTTATCACGTTGTCTCTGATTGCCTGCATCAGCATTGTATAGACATAGATTCATACCTAAGGTTTTTTGGAGCCTTTGTAAATGCACCGTCTTTTAAATTTCTGTTTCTGGTCATACGTTACTGGTATAGAACTAGGACTACTTTCTGGGTGTTGCATGTAACCTGTGACCTCATTAAACCCCGTATGTACCTGGAAGTTTGCTGGTAGGTGCTCGGGTTTCTGTGCAGACAGCCGTGTTGTCTGTGCCCTGAGCCCGTCCTGCTTCCTCCTCTCTAGCCCCCTCCCTGTCTCCCTGCACTGGCTCGGATGCCCACAGCAGCGCTGAGTGGGAGGGTCCGGGGGCGGCTCTGCCTCGGCCCCAGTCCTGGGGGAAGCGGTCCGTCCCTCACCATCAGGTCTCATGTGAGCTGCGGGCTTTCACAGTTCCCCTTCATCAGTGTCCAAGCTCTCTTTTGCTCAGTTTTACTGATAATTAGCTGCTGATTTTCTCAAACGCTTTTCCACATCACTTGATACGACTGCCCCGGGGGTCTCCCTGCTTAACGTCTGAACAGCGAACTACCCAGTCTCGAGACAGACACCACTCGGACACTATTTATCATTCTAATATATTCTATTACTTTTTGCTGCTGGATTCAATTTGTTAATATTTCATTGATGATTTTTATGTCCAAATTCATGAGGGATACTTGTCTGTGCATTTTTCCCATTGCTTTGGCACCAGAGTGATGCTCAATTTGTGAAGCGAACTGGGAAGCGTCCCTTCCTTCACCTCCTGTTTTCCGGACGAGACGGTGCAGCCTTGCTGCTTTTTTTCTGTCTAATTTTGGTAGACTTCTCCAGTAAAATCATCTGGGCCTGAAAATTATTTTTTGCAAGGTAAACTAAAATGCAGAATAACATCCGAATCTGCAAATATCTCCAGTGGTTACCCTACCTCACTCTGCCTGGCCCACAGCTCCGACGTCCCCTTTAACACAGCCGTCTCCTCTCCTCGCCCCCGACGGCCCACGCGCTTCCCGACTCCCCGCTACCTGTAAATGGCCTGCTTGTCCGCGTCCATCGGAGTCTGGGACCCCACGGGGGGAGGGCTCACTCCTTCCACATCCGGTTCCGAGCAGTTGGGGTCTTGCTCCGTTTTCAACTCCGTTACTACTTGCATCTGTGCAAGGAGGACAATTTTTGTTACTGAACTGTGAAAGGAGGATAATTTTTGCTACTAAACAGGAAGCAAACCACTACTGAGCGTTCTATTCTCGAGCGGGAGTGCGGCCTGAGACAAGGGGAACGGTAAACTGCCAGCTATGTGACTGGCAGCAATACAAACAAATGCTACCCACAAACTCCTCCTTAATTTAGTTTTATAAAGTGGTTAAAGATCAAATTTCCAAGTCATTTAAAAACAAAGAGAATCGACATCTGTGAAATGCTCATGATCTTCAAAGTCATAACCAGCACGCATCGCTGACGGACTGGCCGCACGCAGTCTGGCTCCTCCCACCAGCAGTGCGGCCTGGCGCTGAGACCACCACGGGGAGAGGACAGTGGACGCGCCGTCCCAGCTCGAGCTCTTCGTATCTGGTCGCAGAAACGACCGACACCCAGCACGCCCCATCTTCCGTGACAGGGCTGAAATTCCCCCCATCTGCCTTCAGACTCCAGTAATACATAAACTATCATTTTTTTTAAAAGTCACTGTATCTAGAAAATAAAGACCAGCTGGCTGCGTTTAAAACAACAGTATTAAGTATAACAGGAAGTCCTCAAAATATTATCATTTAAATGGCTTTAAACTAGCTGTGTTGTTGGTGAGTTAGGTAAAAAGTATTTAAACCCTTAAACGTAAAGAACTGTTTACAAGAAGAATTGCCGCAGTACACGAGTAATCACCCACCAGCAGGTCACCTCCCATTCCTGCCTGATCCCAGCGGCCAGGCCTCGAGGAAGGGGACTCATCCCAGGAAATGGGAGGGCCCAGTCACGAACCCCACCTTGACACCCCAGGGACGCAGCCGAGGGATCCGCAGGGAGACCCAGGCTCTCCCCCAGTCTGATGACCAGGACACGTCTGTTCTGCAACCTTTAAATGACACAGTGTACTTGGGAAATTGTTTCTCTCTCTCTCTCTCTTAAAAAAAGCAAAACAAAGCACTAAAGGAACTCAAGCCCACTCAAAGTCTTTCTGCAGGGAAAGCTGACAGTATTATAAAAAAGCCTTACGGTATATATTTCAAGGTTTCTTTTTTCATGACTGTGAAAAAAGGGGCATCTAAATGGTCAACTTCAGAAAAGTGGCTACCTAAATCCGGTATAGCTATGTATACTACTATACTACACAAAGATCAGGGGGGAAACCGGCCCACCACTCCTGCCGTGCCCAGCACTGCGCCAGGAGCTCGGATGCATCGGGGCACAGGCAGGGGGAAGGCAGACAGGAGACAGGGAGGCAGACAAGCACAGAAGGCCATCACGAGGCAGAATGTCAGGAGGTGGTCATGGCCAGGAAGGAAGAAAGGATCGGAGGGAGCTGCAGCGGGGACCAGGGCGGGCCCCTGGGGGAGTGGTGGCAGGAAGGCAAAGACTTAGGCACAGAGCAGCAGGGCAGGAAGGAGCCGGCCAAGCTGCCGCCACAGGAAGAGGAGCGGAGGGAAGGTCCAGGGCCGCAGGGCAGAGGGTGCCCAGGAGTGGGACGGGCAAGTGGGTGAGCTGGGGTGGGGTGAGTGCAGTGCACTAGAGGGGCAGTGGGGGGGGCCTGGAATCTGAGGGGCCAGGCAATATGGGTGGACGGGCTCTCAGGGGAGGGGTCATCATCACATCTGTGTGGGAGAAGCAGAGTCACTCGGAAAAACCAAAGGACTTGCAGGTGAAAGAGCAGGCTGGAACAGAGTTCTCTATCTCAATTCCTATAAGAAGCAAAAAACACAATTTTTTTCAAAGCCTACAAAAGCAAAATCTCTGCAAGAGCAAGCAAACTCAAAACAGTGTACAACTGGCCACCCAGGAAAGACACGAGAGCCTCCAAGCGTCAGGGGCACAGCCTGGGGTCCTGACCGCCCACCTGGAACCGACCTAGAGCCTCACCAGTGGGGGCTGTGACCTCCTGTGGGGGAGCCGGCCCCACTGCTGTCCGCGCTCACCGCAATCCTCACGGCTGCTGGCACGGCCGTTCCGTTCCTGCCTTCTGACCGTGGGGATGGCGGGGGGCAAAGGCGGGGCTGAATGTCTTCTACTAAAACCAGCTCCCGGACTCCGAGAAAGAGGGGGCGTGCGCCCACGGGGAGCACCCAGGACGTCCCCATGACCACAGGAGTCCCAAGGGAGGCTGCACAGGCCTCAGTGAGCCCCTCCTCCCCAATTCCTTCAGGCGACGGAACACAAAACACCTGGGTGGCTTCAAGGAAAACGTGCTCTTACAGCGGGAGAGCTATGGAGAAAGCCGCCCGTGCCCTGGCTGGGTAGCTCAGTCGGTTAGCGTGCCATCCCGATGCGTCAGGGTTGAGGGCTCCATCCCTGCTCGGGGCACAGACAAGACTCAACCCATGAATGCGCAGGTAAGTGAAACAAATGGATGTCTCTCTCTCTCCACTCACACGTCAGGACAGGCCCCCTGCCGCTCACACCGGGGAATGTGAAACTGCGCAATTCCCACTCCGATTAGCAACCGTCAGCATGGGAACCTGTGGTTAACAGCCCAGCTTTTCTCTCTTTACTTTTTAAAAAGATTTTATGTATTTGTAGAGAGAGAGGAATGGCGGGAGAAAGAGAGGGCGAAAAATATTGATGTGATAGAGAAACATCAACTGGTTGCCTTCAGCAAGCGCCCCGACCAGGGAGGGATCACCGAGTCCAAAACCCGGGCGTGTGCCCCGACTGGGAACGGAACCTGCGGCCTTCCACTTCGTGAGACAGACGACACCCACCCCGCTGAGCCACACCCGGTCAGGGAACACCCGCCTTTTCTTTAAGAGCAACAATACTTGCTAACACTGATATTAAAATGGAAAATTCCCACAACAGTATGATTTAAGGGAGTCAAAATTACTAGCGGTCTTGGTATCACTTAGGAAATCATTTGAGCAACATGAAATAAATGCACAATACACTAAAGCTGAACCTGCAACCTCAGGGAAATTAAACTATTAATATACAAAGCACCACTGTGTTTTAGTACCAGGTCAACTGAGTGTAATTAAAACACAGATAACTCGAGCTCTCACTTGTTGCCCATCTTGATAGCTGTCTATGCTTAATGTCTGTGTAGCCATCATGGTTAATGAGTTTATTATAAAACATCAAATCATCTTGAGTCACAAGCAAATGGTGTCTGGAAAACAAAAGCAGAAAAGCATTAGTTAGTAACTGCAGTACATCCTTTTGTCCCCTACTCCACAGCCTCCACATAATTTTTAAATTTATTTATTTTTAGAGAGAGGAGAAAGGAAGGAGAAAGAGGGAGAGAAACATTGATGTGCGAGAGATACATCGATCAGTTGCCTCTCGCACGCCCCCAACTGGGGACCGGACCGCAACCCAGCCCTATGCCCTGACTGGGAATTGAACCGGTGACTTTTGGTTCACAGGCTGGCAGTCAATCCACTGAGCCACACCAGCCAGGACTAATTTTTTAAAGACCTATTTTCACATGGAGAAAAAAACATCTTTAACTCAGTGCTATAAGCCGAATCCCACTCGGCATCACCCACGTACGTGGCAATCATGTGCTTGCTGCTCTTGCACGGGGCCTGACTTGCGATCACATTTTTCAGCCACTTGGATTTATTCCTTCACTCGCCCAGATGTCTAGTGAGTGTCTACACGTGCAGGACACTGGCTAGGGAGGCCCTGCTGCCCTGGGCAGACAAGGCCAGGGCTGCGGGACCGTAAACACGAGGAAGATCAGGTGGCACACATGGTGTCATGACAGAGGTGAGTGAGGGGCTCCCCTGGTGCGTGACAGAGCAGGCTCCCCGAGAAGGCACGGGCAGAGACCGCAGGCACCTGACTCGGGGACTGTTGGGACGGGGCGGCTGGAGCACAGACAGGAATGACAGAGGTGTGCTCAGGGAGGCTGAGCCACATCTGCATGTGACACAGGAAAGGGAACCATGGCTTGTGTCCCTGTCAAAACACACGGGTAAATGTCAGGAGGTGCTGAGAGGAAGAAAACCAGGTGGGGACAGAAAATGACTCGGGGCAGGGCCACTGACAGTGAGTGCCTGGGGGCAACATGGGACAGGGAGGGAGGCAGCTGCCTGTGACGCCTGGAGGCAGGGGGACCAGCAGCGCCCACAGGAGCAGCTGATGCAGCTGAGCAGAGTGGTGAAGGGGGAAGGGCAGGGAAGGGAGCAGGAGACACGGGGCCAGTTCACGGGGCAGACTCGCGTGGGCCACAGTGAAGACTGCGGGCGTTCCCGGGAAGGTCTGACCAGAAGAATGACTTGATACATCTTAGGAGAGTCCCTCTGACTGTCAAGGACGGGCTGTGTGACTGGGGAACACACAGAGGATGGGGGTGTGGACAAGCGGGGGCGCCAGCACAGGGCTTGCAGGTGGCCTGGGGCTGGGTGTGGGCTCAGGGAAGGGTCCAGCGTTCCCACCTGAGCAACTGGCAGAGGCGAGCCACATGTCCCGGTGCGGAGCAGAGGGTGAGGAGCGGGTCCTGTGGCCTGGAAGAGAAGGCAGGAGTCAGGACATTCTCGGTGTGAGATGCTTCCCAGGGTCCAAGAGGAAATTCCGAACAAGTGAGTCCGGGCCAGAAACACAAAGTCAGTAATCACCAGGGTGTGGTCAGTATGTACAGCGGGGGCTGAACTGTATCTTGTAAGATGTGCCCAAGTTCTGACCCCGGTGCCTGTGAATGGGGCATGATCTGGAAGAGGATCTTCACAGATGTAATTATTAAGGATCTTGAGGTGAGACCATCTTGGACTGAGGGGAGGGCCCAGGTCAAGGGCCTCACGAGTCTTTAGAGAGGGAAGATCTGAGACACACTGAGGGGATGGCTGCGTGAATCGGAGGCAGAGACTGGAGCGCCTGGCCACCAGGTGGCAGCAGGCCCGAGCCTTCAGAGGGAGCATGGCCCCATGACCTCTTGATTGTGGGTTCTGGCTGCCAGGGCCCTGAGAAAACCCGTTCCTGCTGTTTCCATCCACCCAGTTAGTGGGACTTGGTTAGGCAACCCCAGGACCCTGAGGCAGTGAATAAAGCCACCAAACTGCACGAGACCCCCGGGAAGAAAAAGGAGGGGGACAGTGTAAGAAGGCTGGGAGTGGAGGGTCCAGCACAGAATGAGGGGCAGCAGCCAGCGGGACAAGAGTAGAGTCAAGTGATGCCACTCGAGCCGGTGGAGGAGGCCCGAGGAGGGGTCAGCCATGGTACTGCAGCTGAGGGCGAAGGAAAAGAGCGGCTGAGCACGGCCCCATGGAGGGGGAGGAGAGCACCTGGTGCAAGATGCAGGCGTGAGCCAGGACCACCTCCGTCTCCGCACCCTTCCGTGCCGTGGCCTTGACCCACCCCACTGTCGTTAGCAAGAACATCAAAGCCCTCCAGTTAATGACCATTGGTGGTCTCTAAATGTAACCATAAATCCTTCCGTTGGTGATGCCAGGATGGCAACTGAGACGTATATCAAAGTGGTGACAGTACTGACCATCAGGAGGGATGGGCCTGGTGCTACTGCGTCCTTTGTCCCTTTGTCCTGTCAACAGCCGTGAGCACCCGAGTTACAGTATAAAACAGTGCAGTAGCAGGAGTGCTGGGTGTTGGGGCGGAGAGTTTGCACCAAATGCTGGGTCCCCTGTCTTTGCTCCAGCCCCACCCGGTCTTCCCGTGAGTACATTACCCCATAATAAATCCCATTACAGCCCGTGGAGTTGGCCGCTCCGTCTCTCAGTCTGAAGACACCTTCTCACTGAAGTGGCCGTTACACCTCTGCCCCACGTGGGACAGCAGGACTTGGAAACCCCACTGCCAGGGAGGGGCCCACGTGTAGTCATCAGGACATTGCCCTCTCTGCCCTCTGAGACTTCCGATGTTGAGAGACACGCCCCCCACACACACACACAGCTGCAAACCTGAAACTGAGCCTCTGCCTTCACCAAACCCTGGCCCTCCTCCCAGTGCCCTGATCCGCCCTTGTGTCCCTGGGCAGTGACCCCAGCGTGTCCTGATCTGCCCCGCACCATGGCCCACACCTTGATCAGGGCAGGAGCTCTTGTGGCCTCTATTCTTTGTTACTCTCCGTCCCCCTATTCTCCTTTCCAAAGTGCAGAGCTGGTCCAAACCACCCTTGCAGATCAAGTCCCAGGCCGACCTTTGCCCACCCCTGCCCTTCCACAGCATGCCCCCAGCCCTGGCCAGCCCTGGCCAGCCCCTCCCCCACTCTAAGTGTGGGCTCAGCTAAAGGGATGGCCGTCTGTAGTTCCTGCCGCAGGCCGACTTCTTGCCCAGCCCGGCAGTTCTGCGCACGCTGGCCGAGCTCGGAGCAGGCCAGCTGGTGCACACACATCGTCATCCACACCACCTTCCCCAGGTCTTCCCCGTGGCTCGCCCCCACCCACCGGCTGGAAACAAGAGTTGTCAGGATGAATTCATGGTTTTTAACACACACAAATATAGAGAAATAAGGGTAGATCCGTGTATCTCACATATATACATGCACACATACACATGTGTACATATACACACATGCATGCAAACACACACTTTCCCCGCTGTGTCCACTGAGAGGGCCTAGAAGCCGGGACACCCAGCCACAGTGAGCACTCAGCACCTATTTATTGGCTGACAAATGTCATTCTCAATGAAGAAAATCAGGACTCCTCAGAGAAACGGCTGATTTGATTCTAGGGCTGGGTCAGGTCAAGCACAAGATGTGCCTGAAACTGGTGCTCAGAAAATTATGGGGATCGTCAGAAGGACGGACGAGCCAGCTTGCAGGCGCTCTTGCTGGCTGAGTCTGGGACAATCTGAGCAACAAGATGTGATGGGAACTGGGAGTGCAGTAAAAACCCACAAGTCCATGCTGACGGCGATACACGAATGAATGAATACATGGGCTGGGAAGGGGGCTCTAAATTACAGCAGAGTTCCGGCAGTATGTAGAGGATGGAATTCAATCATCACCGTTTGGCGACCGGCACAGTAATCACTGCTTCCGGCAAGAAGTATCTCAGATGGCCATGCCAGCCTGTGAAAGCATGGTGCGGGAAACGGAAACGCACATGGTCCCAGAAGACCTGCCACAAGATACTATCAATTACAAGGGAAAACAGTGACTTCACAGTGGAGACCTGGCAGAAAACACGTCAACCAAAAGGTGAAAAGTCACATCAACAGCAATGAGACAAGTGAACATGATGGGCCTCCCAAAAGGGACACAGAACAGAACTTCTGCCCTGGCTGGTATAGCTCAGTGGATTGAGCATGGGCTGCAAACCAAACGGTCACTGGTTTGATTCCCAGTCAGGGCACATGCCTGGGTTGCAGGCCGGGTCCCTAGTAGGGAGTGCGTGAGAGGCAACCACACACTGGTGTTTCTCTCCCTCTTTCTCCTTCCCTTCCCCTCTCTCTAAAAATAAATAAATACAATCTTAAAAAAACAAACAAAAAACAGAACTTCTGGGCAGACCTGCCCAGTCCTGAGGAGGTGCCCACAAATGGAAACAGAAAGGTGAGGGAACTGTTCTGAGCTCAAAGAGACGGAAAAACAGCCACCACATGCAGCACGTGATCCTGGTTTAAAAAGCAGCTGTGGAAGAAAGCTTAGGAAACTCTGGGGAGACGGTATACACAGTTGGCATGTGCCAGCACGAGAGGCTGAGCGTGGTGGTGGTGGGATAATGCTGTACACTCACGGAAACATCTTTGCTTTGAGGAGCGAGGCTGAGACATTTAGGGGCATGGCCATGGTACCCACCGTTTACTTTAAATGGTCCGCAAGGGCATACACACAAATTGTGGCCGAAGTCAGCATCTGCTGAGTGGAAGTGGGGGGATCGCTGTTCCACTCTTAACTCTGTGTGTTTCAAAATTTTGAAATCAGAGTTTTATTTCAAAAACGTGTAGATTAGCAGTCTTTCTATCAAAACTGGTTAAAACTTCAATATCTGCTATAAATTGGTACAATTGTTCTAAAGGAAAAATTTGAAATTTGTGTCACAAGCTTTGAAAATGTGTGCTTCCTCTACAATGGAACACCATGTGAGGATTTTTTTAAAGGCAATTTTATACGACTAGTGTATGTATATTGTTTGGTAAACAGAGGGGGCAGAGTGCCAGGGTGACCAGTATTCCTACAGGGACCCCAAAGAAGCAGACAGGAGTGACCAGCAGGTGGCACCATCTGCTCAGGACCGGCTGCAAGGGGCGGAGTGGACAGGCAGCCACCACTCGGAAAAGCCATATGCAAATTCATCACTGAGAATTTGTAGAGCTTTCCAAATCCCCCTCCATCAAAACGACAGGCCACATTTTGGTGGTAACATCACCTGGCACCTGCGGGGCAGGCAGGCAAACAGGTCTCGGCAGAATTCACAGTACTCATCCCAGCAGACTGCTCGGGCTTAGGAGGCGGCGCTGTGCTCTGGCCACGGCCTCTGTCAGTCCGCTCAGCCGCGAGACCTCAGACTGCTGGCCCAGGACAGAATCTGAGTGACTGAGTGACACCTGTCAGCAACGGGGAAACAACCAAAGGCCTCTAACCCGAGGATGACTGCCGACCAAGCGGCTCGTCGTCCTTTGTCACAATCTGTTTTATGGGGCAACATGTGAACACCAAAGGCTAACTTAAGATTTAGAAACAATCAATTAATCTTTATTCCTCACCCCCCATTACATGTAAAAATAAGTACCTATTATGTTGAAGCTCAAACAGGTGTCTTAATTTCTTACCACCACCTGGGGCTCTAAAATCCAAGTCTAAGAATTGCCAACCTAATGTACTTATAATAAATACCAGTGTTCCAGGATCAGTTTATCTCCTTTTTATTTCTACAAGTTTCACTCAATTAAAAAAGGATATGTAACTTGCTGAAATTGTCACTTTGGTACCCTTTCAAGAGTTCCAGCCAGACTGATACAAAGCACAACTTTCCAGTCTTCACGCATAGAAATATGAAAACTCACTAGTAATTAAAGAAATGCTAATTTTAAAAAAGATTTTACTTTTAAAAAAGACTTTATTTACTTATTTTTAGAGAGAGGGGAAGAGAGGGAGGAGAGGGAGAGAAACATCAATGTGTGGTTGCCTCTCATGCGCCCCCTGCTGGGGACCTGGCCAGCAACCCAGGCATGTGCCCTAACTGGGAATCAAATCAGCAACCCTTTGGCTTGCAGGCCAGCACTCAATCCACCCAGCCACACCAGCCAGGGGTTATTTACTTTCTAGAGAGGGGGAAGAGGGAGAAAAAGGGAGAGAAACAGCAATGTGTGTAAGATACATTGATCGGGTGCCTCTCTCATGCCCCCAATGGGGGACCTGGCCTGCAACACAGGTATGTGGCCTAACCGGGAATCGAACCAGCGACCGTTTGGTTCATAGGTCAGCACTCAACCCACTGATCCACACCAGCTAGGGCTAATTTTAAAATAATATACTTTTCATCCAGCAATTACTAAATTTAAAACAACCACATTGCCAACAAAGATGAAGTAAAACTTGGAACTC